GAAAGCACCGTCCGTGTGGAGACCTCACAGACTGGGACGTTACTCGAGGTGAATCGTAAGCTGGACAATGTTCTAGCTGCGATACCGGTATTAGTGCGCAAAATGGATGTCATCTCGGAGAGGGTCACTGGATGGTGTGGAGATGTTTAAAACCTGAATTGGCTTCACTGGAGGACTTGAATGATCAGTTACAGACTTCAAGGCAGAGAGGAAAATTATCTCTGCCTGACCCAAACAAAGTCTTGTTATCCGAATCTGACGCCATGGCAGCCTTGTGAATGCCAACAACAAACCCCCACGAAGGAATGCAGACAGATGCTGTGAAAACCCGACCTACCCCCCCCCCCCCCCCCCCCCCCCCCCGCGCCTTCGGATTGGTGGACCTCAGCCTGGCGAGGTCATCAACCTGCAGGTGTCAATGTGCACTGCGCTCCTCCCAAGATCCCCCTCCCACCTGTGGCTACAGTGGCTGAGCGCCACAGGGCTGCTCTCGCTGGGGAAACAGGATTCCCCCCCCCCCCCCCCCCCCGCACCTTCCTCTCGGTGTCTCATGTTGTGAATTGTTGATGTTCGTGCTTATATGTTTGAGGCTTTTTTTTTTTTGTGCATAGTAAAGCTACGCCCTGCCGGGAGTAACTCTGGTATGCCTTTTTTCCCTCCCCCAATTTATCCTCATGTGATCCCCTTTTCATCTAATTAACGGTAGCGCGACTCTTGTTGCGAATGACCACAGTACCAATTCTTCTGTACTGAAACAATTGCCCCTCGGGGATGATTAAAGTTTTTTTGAATTTGAATTTGAATTTAATTTGAATTTACTTTCTGAAGTACCCAGAACATGATCTTTGACCTATATTTGTATAGTGAACCTGTGGATGGCTTATTACCTTCTTCTTCAAGGTATTCTCTAAGGAATGCTTCAGGAATATGGTATACAAGGGGTACAAGTCAAGCTGGTGCAGGGTGGACTCCACCAGGTCTGACTCTTGTCTCTGACCTTATTGCTGGGGTTCATGGAACAGGATCTCAAGGTGTATTCATGGAGAGAAAGGTGTCTGGTTTAGGAACTCCATGTTCTCAGCTCTATTGTTTGCAGATGATGTGGTTCAATCAGCTTCCTTTGGTGCTTCAGCTAAAGTTGGGCGTATATTGTCTGACTTTTTACTCATAGCATTCGGCTCCATCTCTAACTGTACGACTTCCTTGCAAAGGTCACAAGACATGTTCTCACACTGTATGACCCAATGTTCAGATGTGACCTGACTGCTAACACTGTGTGTGTGGCAGTAAAATGTTGAGTTAAAAATATGCTGAAACAGTAGTAGCAAAGCAAGTCGAACTTTTCAGTCCGAAAACCCGGAGACTGTTGTGTAGTTATTGATGTCCCCCCCCCCCCCCAAGTACAAACTTTGGTATTGATGTTTGTGGTTCTTCGTGCTTGCCGTAGAAGGACATGCAGAGGTTACAGGAAAACAAAAGGGAGTAAAAAATTCTTAGGGCATTTCTGGTACTTTTGGGACGGAGCGCTGCTTCAGCAACTCTAATTTCCCTCTGGGATTAATAAAGTATCTTTGAATTGAATTGAATTGAATTGAACTGAATACCCCCAGAAGGGACAAGCAAAATTTTAAACATGTTTGATATTTGTTCAACCGCACGATTGCTGATCAGGGGCTGGTCGTGAGGTGTGAATTGCTTCTTGCAACCCGCTGTATACCACACGACGCAAAACTTACCCCGACCTCAAAGATTCTTTCACAAGAGGAAAATTGGTACGAAACGGTACAAAAAGTGTACACTGTACATCCGGCTTAAGCCTTTGTCTCAAGTGGACGAAATCAAAAGTCGTGGTAATGATGTAGTATTAGAGTGAGACATTGTAGCTTCATCTACAGGTTGGACGGTGTTGTTCTGGACTGTAACGATAAATGGTCCGTCTACATGAAGTAGTAAAGTATCACCTATTGCCATAATATGAATATAATTCTACAAGAGAGCAGCCGAAATTACCTTCCTCTGTAGGTTGACTGGGCTCAACCTTAGAGATGAGGTGATGAGAGTATTAATCTGGAAGACCTCAAAAAGATCCATTGGTTCTCATCAATAATGAGTCTGCGTAGGTGGTTCAGACACCTGATTTAGATGGCTCTGGTCATTTTCCTGGCATCTTTCACTGGGAGCAGAACCTGGGGCAGACCCAGAAGTTGCTGAAGAAATTGTCTATCCTGGCCTTGGGATCCCTGAGCAGGAGCTGGAGAGGGGGAACTCTGGGGTTCCCTTGAGGACCTGTTACCTCTGCAATAATACCTTGAAAAGGTGAAGAAAAAGGATGGATGTTAAAGATAGACAGTAAATATAAAGATTTTAGATTATTTTCAGATACCTTTGAAATTTTGAAAAGCAGATGTAGTTTCGGTTGCAATGAGTTTGGTCACAAGATAAAAACTTTGAAGTACAAGCTGAAATGGAAGCGATTTCTACTGCAGACCCGAAAGAGAACCGTTTCATATGAATTTGAATATGATTACCTCTGACAACAAAGTGTGAGTAGCACAAGATCTTAGGACACATTTCTTTTCCGTTTTCCGGGCAAAGCTGATACTCTTTGATTTGTTTCTTTTGTGAAACCGCTCTGACCTCAAAAGTTGCTTGTGTTTATTGGGTCCACGCTGCAGGAGCTCACATCACCATCCGATTGAAGGAAAAAAAAGTTTAAAGCCCACCTCTGAACCCCTCTAATTAAATGAAAACACAGTAGGATGCCCACAGTAAGACTACATTTCTCCAAACACATACATAAACATGGTTTTGAAAGTAACCAGTGTGGGCGTCTCTATGGGGATCAACACAGAGCTCCAGCATCCCGTTCTGTTGTGTCCTCTTACGCAGTGCAATCACACGCCAGGCTGACATGCAACACGCTGCAGATCATGAGCATAAATAAGCTAGGGAATGCTTTACCTGAAAGAGGGAGAGTTAATTCAAAGGCATCACTCTAGTACTAAGAAGAAATGTTGCCTCATTAGTGTTACCCCACTGCTTTTACTCAGCAGTAGCGATGAAGAGAGTGAAGCTGCACTAACTGCACAGACATCTTGTCTCCGGAGATCTTAGCCTGCCTCGGTGACTGAGAAAACCTGCACATTGTTATGTACTCATTTGTGTGGCAATGGGTTGAGCAGAGATCCCAGAATGCCAAGAATCCGGCCTTTCGAATGCTCACAACGAGCCAGTTTCCAGCAGGTAATGTGACACAACCGTTGGTGGAGAGCGGCTCCATTTCCCTCATTGTGCAGAGGATGATAAGCAGGAGGCTGATATCTGGATGAGAAGGAGAAGAGGTGAGGAGACAAGGACAGACATCATTTGGAGGACGGGTTGGCATGCCTGCCTTCATTCCATGTGATTGACAGATTGGTGCAATGGGTGCAATCGCTCGAATGCCATCACGCTCGTTTCCCTAGAAATCTGTCTGTCAGTACTGTCTAAGCAGAGCGACAGCCATGACATCTAATCACAGGCGAGCTGGCACCTCATAACTTCTACCTAATGTGCTGCAGGTACAGAGGAGGGAAGGGGGGCATGGCCCGACACCGCCACCGCCACGCTATTTATAGCCCCTTCAGAGGCCACCAGCAGGAAGTGGATCATACTGAGGGGTTAGGGATGGTGTCACCACTCTCTTCCTCGTGTCCCCGTGTTTAGATATAGGTCTCTGTTGACAAGATTAAAACAATGAGGTGTCCTGGTGCCTGGGTGATACATTTTTCTGGGTTATCCTTCTGACAGCGTAACATAAAACGAGGGCAGATAGACTGCACATACAAGATGATAGTAAGTCATTTACATAATGTTGCTACAACATTATAATTATCTGGCAATTAAAGCAGCTCAAAAACCTCATTATGGGCTGTCCTGACGGCTGGATGGACTGGAGCACTCATCGAAGCCCAAGTCGGACCATCAGCTTTCTCCAAAAGCCGTATAGTGTTGGATTATTATATAATAAACACACGTTTTTGACACACTTTGGGTGAGAGAAGAAAGGGGAAAGCTTCATACGCTGAGGCACCGCAGCAGACTCCCGGACCATGTTCAGATTTATTTTCCCGTTGTGTGAGATTTTTCACTTACAGTCCGGAGGGAATTGTCGACATGCTGAAAATCCACAAAGGAGCCTAACAAGGACATGTGTCATACCTTACACTCTTATTACACTGGCAGTGACAAGTGAGACAAGCAGTCGCTTCAACATACTGTGTGTGCCTTACACCGAGGTGCTCGTTGCTCACAGTTTAAGTAAAGAAGCCCCAACATCAGTGTGAAATGTCAATATCATAAAATACGGTGTGTGTGTGTGTGTGAAACTTAAAAAATGTAGATGAGCAGCAGAAGGCAGGAGGAAAGGAGGGATACATGTGTGCGGGTGGCTCGGAGGACTGTTCTTTATGAATGGCAGACAATGAGTGATGGAGGCTCTCCGGAGGATACAGAGCCCTGAGCAATGCTGCAGGGACCTGGGAACACGCCAGTCTTTCATGCCCCGCGAGATGCCAGTTTGGGTGGGCACCGTTCCGGACGGGTGCTCTCTCCTCTCCAGGATACACCGACGGTCCCGGGGGAGAGTCTCCAGCCTGTGGCTACTCCACAGTGGTGATTGCTGGAATCTCAATCAGGACCATGAGGAAGGGGTGGAGAAATCAAAGACCTCATATTCCTTCCATTCCTTCATTTTGAGGCAATTTTCTTTAGAAAAGAGCCTCATGATGGTAAAATCACAGCGGCAGAGGCTTAGTATGACAGCTTTTGTGTACTTAATTGGTGGGAAATTTCACAAATTTAATATGGGGCTGGAATTTGATGGTTTTCAGCGTGCCTTTTTGGTGAATGTGAAGAAGTGTATTGTTACCAATGTAATATGGCTCTAAGCGTGTTTCCTGTCTGCTTACACTCTTTTTTCTCTCTCTCTCTCTCTTCTGCTCTCATCCTCGCTGCAACAGGAGCTGCTGAAATCGTGACAGGTACTGCCTGCTGTTCGTTTGGAAGCGCCTGCTTCTTTGCATCTGTGTCTAGTGATTGCCTGTCTGCCTGAGTCTGTTTGTCTCTTCACATTAACGTGGCACAAGTCGCGTTAGAATCCCATGAGCTCCAAACGCTCATCTCCTATTTTCATTTGGTGTCATAATCAACATTTCACAACTTGTAAAGGCAGATCTCTAATCCACTAGGAGTCCTTTTAATTGGTCCTCGATTGTGTTTCTGCTTCAAAAACAGATGGTTTGCTAATCTCATTCAAGTTTTAGACTTTCTTACCAAACAGTATAGGAACAAAAGTGTAATTATAGGATTAAACCATGTGTTTGTTGGAATTCTCAGCCACTGAGCTAAACCAGTATGCTCTCCCATGCCCTCGTCAGATTTAATTAATTAATTATTATTTTTTTCTTTTCTGCATTAAAAAGGAGCAATCATGACACAAACGTTAGTATGTCCCCATTTTATGGAAGCTGATCTTAGATGCCTCTATCTTTCTGAGTGTAAGTAATGCTAATGGTCTCTTTAGTTTTAAATTAGATTCAGAGACATTTAGTCTTCCAAAGCTCCTGCTTCATTCTTTATTCAAAATAAGATAACATTTCCCATAACTTCTCAGCTGTTCGTCAGTCTAAAAGTTTTACTTTTGTTATGCTAAAGGGCCGTCTCCCATTTAAAACTTGCCTGTGTGTAAAAATAAAAAATTATTAACATCTTTTTGTGGAATACATTATTTATGCTATTTATTGATCAATTCAAGTTTATTTATACAGCGCAAAACCACGACAAGAGTCGTCTCAAGACTTCACATAGTAAACATTCCAACTCAGGTCGGTTCATTAAGCCAATCAGAAAAAAGTATCCTATGTAAGGAACCCAGCAGGTTGCATCAAGTCACTGACTGGTGTCTGCGTCTACAGCAATCCTCATACTAAGCAAGCATGTAGTGACAGTGGAGAGGAAAACTCCCTTTTAACAGGAAGAAACCTCCAGAGGATCCTGGCTCAGTATAAGCAGCCATCCACCACGACTCACTGGGGATCGAGAAGGCAGAGTACACACACACACACACACACACACACACACACACACACACACACACACACACACACACACACACACACACACACACACTAAACAGGTAAACTAGTAGTAGCACATTCAATGTAAAAGAGAGTAAAATGTCATTATCAGGAGAGGGAGAATGTGGTTAGCAACAGTGTTCAAGCCGCTGGCCCCCACCATGAGGCCACCACAGCTCAGCAGAACATCATTGTAGCTTCTTCTGGGGAGAAAAACAGACGTTTTGGTGTTGGGATTCCTGCTGAAGTGTTGGAGGCAGGGCAAGGGAGAGCCCTGAGACTTGGAGCTCCTTCCATCTCCTGCGCATCTTTGGGGGGCAGATCTGTGGCTCCTCACACTCTCTATTGGACGCTCCTATAGAGAAACCTTACATATATAAGCGTGGGTACACACACAGGTGCTCACGTGGTGCTCTCATAAGTATGGACTTGGGCACATTCAACACATGTCGGCTGTGGTTGGCACTAAATGCGCTGTGATTTATTATCGCAATTGTTCAGTAAAACAATGTTTATTTTATATGTCCTCATTAGGTTGACGCAGTGATAGCTTGCTCCTGTTGTATTGCTGTGTGCCCCTTTTCTTTCTCCTTCTACAGGTCTAGAAGCAGACTCTTGTTCATCATTGATTGTTTGTTTTGTGCGTTAATTCTGTGTGTTTTGCCCAACTTCTTGGTTCTTTTTATTAACACAGAAAAGAGTTGTGTTTTTCTTTTTTGCTAAAGTTTTCACCACTACTGCGATCTTCTTCAGAGCTAGCTGCTGTTGATGCTGCCAACAGCAGCTAGCTCTGAAGAAGACCTTTTTCTGTAATTTACAACTATGGTGATAAAACATTTGTAAAGATGTTCAGGTGAGAAATGCAAGCCTCAGGTGAAGATTCTTGTTTTTGTTCCAGTCGTTTTTCACTGCAGAGAAAATTTCTACTTTTCAAGTTTTGCCAAATAAACTAAAATATCTCAAAAACTTTATCTCAGGTCTGTCGTATTTTGACATCTTGAGAGCAAGAAGTAGGGAAGATTTTGATGTTTTTTTATGTGTATGGTATGTAGTCATCAGAAGACTGAAAAGCAATACTCATATTTTCTGATATTAAAGGGGCATTATGGAAGTTTTACAGCCAAAACATGTATAGAAATAATAAATTTCTTCTTCATACATTCTCCTGCAATGCCCTGGTCCTGTAGAATGAGCCCTGGCATTTTTACTGTGATTGCCTGTTTTTCTGTAAAATCACAGAAAAACAGAGCTGCTTGGGTCGAGCAGGCTGCTTCATGCGCGTTCACGCTCAGCCATAGACCGTAGCATTTGCTATCCGTAGCTTCAGCAGCAGAGAGAGAGGCATTGCCACGTTGTTGCTGTTCCTAACGCCTAGTGACAAAGCTAGCTACATTTCTGAGGACCCTTAGCTACTTTCTGTAGAACTTTCTTCTAGATATTCCTTGCAAATTAGCAACAAAATAGCCATTTTCACTCCGTTTCAGCTGTCATCAAGGATATAAAAGTCACAGATACAATGGTCGCCACTGGCACTTTAGCTCACCTAGTAAGATGTCGGACTCCCGTGCAGAAGACCTGGGTTCGATAACATAGTTTATTCAGAGTTTCTTTTATATTAATGGTATATTTTTTTACAGTAAGATGCCCAAATTTTTATTTGAGACTCGCCGAACGGCATTGAACTCTCGGATACAAAAGATGTGGGTTCATCTTTCATTTTGGAACAATTTTTCAAGGAAGGGAAGCTCTGTGAAGCTGACAGACTGACCCATCATAAACCTTTGTCGGCTGTGCTGAAGAGAAAGTTACAGAACCAAATTATTTAATTAATTAGCTGTGCATTCTCCTGTACGCTGTCCTCCGGGCCACACACACACACACACACACACACACACACACACACACACACACACGGGACTGTCTCAGCTGTTATTTTCGTTAAGGAGTGTGCACGTACAGCATGCGCGCCTCGTGCACGAGCCTCCTATTGAAGCTGCCGTTACGCTTTTGGCCTGAGGGGGCAATCGCGAGCATAAAAATTCTAAACTCCGTAAAGTCCCTTTAAATTACGGTGTTGTAACTCCTATACAGACTTTTGATTATACTGATGGGTGTGTTGTTGGGATTTTAGAAATATAATTTTTATTCCATTAATGGTAGACCAGTAATATTGAGCATCCCTAGAGTTCCATGTAAATACAAAAGGAATGGAACATTTTATTATGATTCCCAATAAATCGAGTAACAAATAGCGTTGGAGGAAACCCTTCATTAATTCACTGCAGCTAAAAACTGTCTGATTGATTCATAGGATGTTGGACCTTCCTCCTAAGATGTTTTACACTTTTCCCTGTTCAGTTGCACAAATTGGGACTATGGGAGGACAGTGGTCTGGTTTGAGACATTTTAAACTTCTTTGTTGTGACTTGAGTCCTTGAAGCAGTCAGAACTTGTGATCACCCCCTGGAGATCTCAGGAGTTTTTTTTTTTTGTTCTAGTTTCTAATTAATTTAATAGCAAAAATTTACCAATCAGGGCAGAAGTAGATCAGGGACTCTTTTGTACTCTAAAGTATTTCTTCTTTAATTGTCAAAAGAGTATAATAGCCTAAAGGAGAATTCAAGTCGTGTCCTTGCCTTTAGCACCAATAAATAACTCCTAGTGGATCCAACAGCCGTAGCCTCAAGTCCGGAGTATGACACAAATATAAACTGTCAGAGGTTTTGCTGTCTTCCCAAAACCCTTATAAAGCTGCCGTAGAAGATTTACAGAACACTCAACTCTCCCTTTGGGCGTCTTCCCGAGACGCTTCTGCTGATACCGGATACCCACATTTCAAGAGGAAACGAGATAGTGCTAAACACTAGTTGCTGTTTTCTAGATCCAAACCCCTTTTGTTGTCCGTGACTTCTAATGATGTTTTTTGGGACTCTGGTAGTTTGTCCTAAAGGTGAGTGGTAGCATTCAGCTGCTTCTTCTCTGATAATATTGAGCCATGAACCTCTCACACCAGTGGTGCTCTGTTGCTAAATACGTGAGTACGTAATGAGTGGAGAACACAGGGAAGTGATGCGGTTTGGCCATTCCAACAACCAAATGGTTCAATAGGTTTCGGTCTGAAACTTTATTGGCAGAGATTTTTAGACAAATGCGAGACAACCACCTCATTTTTTAATCTCCATAACATATTTATAGCTATACAATGTTAGAATGTTGTTAAGAGCAGTGGTTCCCAACCCTTTTCCATAAGGACCCCCTCGACTGTGTCGAAAACAAGCCAGGACCCCTCCAACTTTATTGCCTACCCACAAAGACATACGGTGTTGTAACTCCTATACAGACTTTTGATTATACTGATGGGTGTGTTGATGGGATTTTAGAAATGTAATTTTTACAAATATAATCTTTATAACCTGACAACCTCAGCACAGACAATGTTGTGAGAAGCCCCATTCAATCTTGTGACCCCAGGTTGGGAACCACTGGTTAAGAATCACGAAAAATAATGTTCATTTATTTTATTTGTGTCAGTCTCCCAACTTCAGGCCACGGTTGTACTCTGCTTCATAAACTCCACACAAACTGAGATTTTGTGTAAGGAAACAATGCTAACCACCTCATTGGGCAGCCCTAGGTGAGATTAGTCAAACTTCACGTTGTTTACATCATAAAATATAACCCATCTGGTCATACTTGAACTGTCACCAACTGAGTTTATTTCGTCCAGAAAAGTCTGATGCCATAAATAAAAATATTACCAAGCTTTGCTTCTCTGCTGTGAGAAACATTGGTCCAGAAATTATACATCATGGAAGATAGCTGTAAACAAGTGTTGCTGATGAGATTTAAATCTGAGCTCTATATTGTGGATAAGTATTTCCGGACTATTCCTAACATACAGCTCA